TTTTTTTTTTTTTTTTTTTTTTCTTCACAGCATAACTCACAATTTATTAATTTCAAAAACAAATTCTTAAAATTAGGACAATATATTTTTGTTCCATTTCTATGTCTCTTCTCTTTTCCAAAAATAACAGCTTTTTTTTTGACCTCTTCCAAAAACATAAATGTACAAAACTTCTGATAAGTCTCTTATGCACAGCTCTTTGCTACGGTATGAAAAGTGAGTATATGAAAGTGAATTTACTGTGTTAAAAGTTGCCAATGCTATGTGTTCCAAAATATAATTAGGTAACGGTGAGCAGAAGTTGACAAAATTCTACGAATACCATTGTCAGAAGATCTAACTATCATCACCAATAGTTAATCATAATTTAAGGAAATAAAAAGTTGTAATCATTAAACTGTAATCAAAATAATTCATTATACCTAAGATATGCATAACTGGTTTTAAAGTTTATTAAAACACAGACAGTTATTACATCTGCTGGAATATATCACCTTTTGCAGAGTAAACATACTGTCGCTGTCATTTCAAATTCGAACATAATTTTCAAGAATTAATTAAGCCAATACATCGTCTATGGTAATTACAGTTCCATTAATTTTATACTGATACTGAATGTTCACTGTTAAAAATAAGTCTATTTTAAATTCTTCACCAAGAAAATTTCTTACGAATTCCGTGTTGATGAAATCAGCTTAAATATACTTTACGGTGCTTTTAAATTTAGTGCAGAGACTACAAGAAGAGTACATCAGTATGAGTATGCGATGCATTCATGACATTCCTGAATAATTACTTTCTTTATTGTGCCCTAATTCTCTCAAATGTCTGTACAGTCAGTTAAAATCAGTTACAAATTGTCCTAATCAGAAAAATAGCCGTCAAAACAACCAGCAATAATGACAAATTTCTCAGGATGAACTGCACAGAAAAAAATGCATTTGAATTGTAAAAAAAAAAAAACAGGGCAATACTTTGGAGTACCACCGATCAGCTACAAAAAAACTTCTTGACCCAGATGAGGTTCATAAACAGTTCAGCTACTAACAATAAGCTCCAAGAAACTGAGTTTGTTACAAAAAGACCCAAAATACAACTTACTTTCCGGTCACGGCTAAGCCTTGCTCGTAAATAGCCTATTGAACCAATTTTAAGTTTGAAGGAAACTGGTGTTGTGGTTCAAATGTACTAAAAAACTAAAGAATCCGCATTAAACTTAACATACCATCGTAGGGGTAAATAAATTAATGAAAAAGAATCGTTCTGAGCAGAGATGAAGTGAAAGGTAGCAGTTAACAAAGCAAATACGTGACAGAGTTCAAAAGAACAAACTCACAACTGACCAACTTCCTTCAACAAGCTCTATATAATAATTTAACATTTATATCCCGACTTTTAAACAGTCGAAAAACACATGTGACCCCATCCATGAATGAAATCTTCATTTAGAGCCGAAATAGACCAACCTTGTGAGCACTTCTAACACACTGTCAACAATACATTTCCTGGTAGCTGTAAATTAGAAAAAGCTGCCTTCACATTTTGAAATTATTTAATTAATGTAACGACGTGACCCTGTTCGCTGACAACTTTCTTCAGTTGACAAGTTACAGCAAACCAAAAAACACCACTAGGTCCAGTAAAGTTGTAGAGAATATGAAAATGATCAACCCCCAATAGAAGTTACCAGTATTAAGAGAACTTGCTTCATAAACAGATACTCAACTTTAGTTCTGACAGCAAATCGTCTACAGACAGTAAAAATGAGCGTAATGGAAAACGGGACGGAAATACCCCTCCTTATACAATACACATCCCAACAAAGATTTTTACGTATACTTAAACTACTATCAACTGCTTTAGAGGCTTCCTTAGTAATCTGCAAGATTATGTCGAGTAAATTAAATTTATAAATAGCAACAACTTTAATACAACGCTATTAGCAACAATATAGGAAATCCAAAACTTAATCAAGAAATAAAAACAAAATTCCAAAAATAATTAAACAAACCATCAGTAATTATTTTCCAATAGTACTAACTTCGGCGAGTCCTTAAAACCAGAGGTACCAAAACCTGAACAGGTAAATATAATATTACCTTCTATCTGTAATCTGCTTTCTTCTTGCATTTGGTCTACCATTAATCTGATGTAACAATATACACTTTCTCAAATAATATACAAAAAAAAAAAAAAAAAATATTATATCATTTTTTCAACCACAAGTCACCAAAATGGTTCCCCATCAAAAAAATTTGTTCAACCAGGAAAAGAGAAAAACAGTCACAGAAAAATACATAAATAGCAAAATTAACTGGTCAGAACGAGCTGAAGAATGATGACTGCACGGCTGCAACGACAATAATACTCAATACAGACAACACCTCAAACAAAAAAAAAAAAAGAAAAAATTATCTTCAGCAGCGAATGAAAAATCAGCTTAAAGCTGCCGTTGACAAATTCTTTAAAATACTTCAATTATCAAGATTTCAACTATACACATGTCATAACTATATAAGACAGAGCAATGAGGAAAAACAAGCACAGACGTTACCTCAGACAAACGTCCCACAAACTAATACATCGCAAAATAACTGTGATCAACCCAAGACTCATCACGACCTTTCTTTCTTTTATTGGCCTCTCATACTTAGGTAAGAAAAAAACCCTTCAAGCCACCATCCAATCATGTTCCCAAACAACTCTTCAAACGCATACAAATTTCCAGCAAAATATGACAAAACGTCATAACGGTGCCAGCTGCCACGCGACAAAAAGTAGAAAATATCCCCTCAAAAGTGTAAAACTAGCTGCAAAACCCTAAGCAAAAAAATGCTAGAATTCTTACATAAAGAAATTATAATGAAGGAACGATCTCTTTACTCAAAAATCCTATTCTAGTAAAACGTCTGAATCAACCCTGGTCCATGCAACTTGTACAGCTAACAGAACTAAAAAAAAGCAAGAAAAATTGATACAAAATAACCTTTCCGAAAACAACCCAGTGATAACAGCGGGTTTCAACTGAGTGTACTCCGATTAAACTGGTAGTTCTACAGCATGCGTTTCACAGATAGAAAACTCAATAAATCTAAAAATGTCGTGATTTTAAATGCATATTTTAAAAGAGAGGATTAAATTGAAACTGAAAGAGATTCCATCGGGCTAAACAATTACAAATTCTGTACCCAAAACAGGCCAGAGACCTTATCAGCGAAAATAGCTACAAAAGTGTTTTCAGTGAATGAAATGACGTTTAAAAACGTAACTTCATGACATAAGAAGGATTAATTAAGTGACAGACGTGATACGTAGAGAATAAGTATACAATAAACTTCTAAGGTACCCATTATTACAACTTGAACAGCTTGAGACCGTACAGTTGAATAATATTTAAGTTCTGACCGAAAGTTCGATATTTAAATTGACTAAGAAAATATACAACGTAACTGAAAAGAAATAACTGCAAAGCCAGTCAGAAGGAAAAGCGACCGTCCAGCAAAAAAAAACCGGGAAGATTGCTGGCGTCAAAATAGAAGTAGCTGATACTGAACATCATGTAAAAACACAGATAATCTTGACAAAAAAAACTTTAGGTACAAAACAGCAGGTGATGACATGAGCATATTGAATAGACATGAACTTATGATTCCTCCTCTAATGACAAAAGCCTTCGTCACTTTGTCACAAAATGTCTAAAAACAATCAACATACTCAATTTAATAAACCCGAATATGGCAGTTTTAGAGAACTATTTCTAGATTTTTATAGCAATTTCGACCTTTCAAGCTCAACTTTTTCTCTGTCTTCATCATCATCAACAAGCAGTTTGTCAGCAATCGTTGAGGGTATGTGTTCCTCAATCCACTTCAGGTCTTCCTAAAAAAACCTCATTTGGCGACCAGAGTTGAAAAAATAAACATTCATTATACTTCCTTATCTTCAGTGACCTTTGAAACTAAACAAATAAGACTTCAAGTTGTAAAAAGTGGATAAACTGACCTGTATTTTTTCATCGCTTTGCGTATTTTCTTTCTCTTTTCTGTTTTCAACCTTTGTTTCGGCACTCACGTTCCTCTGACTCAAGAACTCTTTTGAATAAAAACTGCTGTTAAACAACTCGTCTGAAATAATAAGCACATCAGACGGCATACAAAAATAACCTTGAGAGTGACAATTGGATTTATAAAATTATTTACCATCTTCATTTTCATTCTCAGAATCATCGAGCAATGGAGTGAATGCATAACGCTGATTATTTTGAGATGGGCGCCACAAAATCATGATAACAATAAGTATTGAACAAAACAGCATATGCCAGAAAGCAATATCCACCCAACTAAAATTATCAAAACGTAACCGAAAACAGCGCAAAGAAAAATTACCAAACTCTGAAGGCTTATTAGCTTTACTCTTCAACAAGAAGCCTATAAATGACTATAAGCATATCACAAGCAAAGAGTGAACAAATAAAAGAATGCTTTGTTAACTTACTACTCTTTCCAGTCTGTCAAACATTTTTGAAAATTGTGTATATAAACTGTCCATACCATAAAAACCGCACTTATTGTAACAGCGAAACACAGTGCATTCGTAAAATGTCTATACATAGCCAGTTTTACCTAGAAAAAAGTTCATTAGAGATGAAAAATAACTGAAGAAAAGCAACAAAAAACTAACCTCATTCCTTCTCACCCGTAATGTTCTCATTGTGTTAATTATAGAAGTAAACACCCACCAAAATATAATGACTTCAATAATGACTAACGGTAAACTAGCAAGTTGTTTCTGTTTCATCCCCTCTCCGTGAGCCTGAAAGCTACGAGGCTAAACCAGTACAAAAAAGAAAAAACAAAATGTAACACAGAATTTCTTTTTTTACTTCAGTAATCTCCAAAGATGGACTGTAAATTAGCTAAATTTCGGATGGTCAATTACTTTTCTGATCAGTAAAATTAAACCTTAGAAACCCGAGTTAGAGCTTCAATCGCGGAGAATATGAAATAGATGAAACCAACACCAGCAACTTGATTGAGTGTGCTTCCTAATCTTGGTCTGACAACACCGTATCCAACAGAGACGATAATGATAAGGATTCTCGCCAAAGTTCGTTTTATACATGAAATAAGTTCCGCTGCCTAAAAAGCACACTGTTTTGGGGTTGTGGGCAAAAATAAGAAAAAAAATTGCGAGCAATAACAAAAAATTTTGCTAATGTTGGAATTTGAATTAAAAACCGCAAGCCTCCAATAAGCTTGAAAAAAGCACTAAAATATTTTTTACTATTTTCTAAGATCC